GGAGACAAAAGATACGTAGGTCATAAAGAAACAGACAAAACCCTCCCTATTTCCAGATGATATGATTGTTCATGCAGAAAATCCCAAGGAAATCTACAAAAATCTAGAACTAATAAGTGAGTTCAGCAAGATCACAAGATACCAGCAAGTAAACAAACAAAAATAACATTTATTTGTATATACTAGCAATGAACATGTGGAAGCTGAAATAAAATGCAATATTATTTACAATCAGTCAGAGAAAATGAAGTACTTAGAAGTAAGTCTAACAAAAGTTTTTATGACTTGTACACTGAAAACTACACAATGCTGATCAAAGAAATCAAAGAAGGTGTAAGTAAATAGACATACTGTGTATATGGATAGGAAGATTTGACATAGGAAATATGTCAGTTCTTCCCAAATTGATATATTTAATACCATTCCTATAAAAAACCCAGCAAGATTTTTTATAGACATAGGCAAGATTATTCTCAAATTTACATGAAAAGGCAAAGGAACTAGAACAGCTAAAACAATTTGGAAAAGAAGAATAAAGTGGGAGGAATCACTCTAGCAGATTCCAAGACTTATTTGTATAGTACATTAACCAACGCTATTTAGTATTGCTGGAGGATAGACATGCCGATCAATGGAAAGAAACTGAGAACCCAGAAATGGCCCCAAACAAAGGTGCAAAAACAACTCAGTGGAGAAAAGAGAGAATACAGCATTTTTATTAAGTGGTGCTAGAGCAACTGGACACCTACAGGGAAAAAAAATGAACCTCAACTTAAGTCTCAGACCTTGTACAAAAATTAATACAAAGTGGACCACAGACATAAGTGTAAAGTGTAAAACTATACAGATTTCAGAAAAAAATCTTCAGGATCTAGGGGTAGACAAAGAGTTATTAGACTTGATTCCAAAAGCAGAATTTATAAAAGGGGAAAAAAAGATAAATTGGACTTCATTAAAATGAAAAACTATTGCTTTGCAAAAGACCCTGTTAAGAAGATGAAAAGGAAAGCTATAGTGTGTGTGTGTGTGTGTGTGTGTGTGTGTGTGTGTGTGTGTGTGAAATACTTACAAACCAGATATGTCTGTCCAAGGACTAGTATCTAGAATATATAAAGAACTCTCAAAACTCAACAGTAGAAAAACAACCCAATTAGCAAATGGGCAAAGAGGATATAAAGATGGCAAATAAACACATGGAAAGATATTTAACTTCATTAGCCATTGGGGAAATGCAAGTTAAGCGCAACTATCAGGATGACTAAAACAAATAGTGAAGACACCCAGTGTTGGCGAGAATGAGGAAACACTAGGTCCCTCAGACATTGCTGGCAGGAATGTTCGATGGTACAGCTCCTCTGGAAAACAATTTGGCAGTTTCTTAAAAAAATGAAATGTGCGACCACCACACAACCAGAAACTAGATTCCTATTTATTACAGAGAAATGAAGACTTGTGTCCACAGAGAAAAATTGTGTGAATGTTCATATTTTTTGTGTAAGCCCCATGTCCTTCAATGAGTGAAGAGATAAACAAATTGTGGTACATCCATACTACAGAATACTACTCAGTAATTAAAAAGAAACAAACTGTTGGTGCACGCAACGACCTGGATGTATCTCCAGAGAATTATTTTTAGGGAAAAAAAATCCAGTCCCCAAAAGATAAATATTGCATGATTCCTTTTATGTAATATTCTTGAAATGATAAAGTGATAGAAATGATGAGAAGATCAGTGGTTGCCGGTAGTTAAGGAGGGATGACATGGTGGGCAGGGTAAGGCAGGAATGGGCGTGGCTGTAAAAGGGCAACATACATGGTCCTTGTGGTGATGGAAAGTTCTGTATCTTGACTATGTCAGTGTTGGCATCCTGGTTGAGATCCTGTACAAGGAGTTTTGCCAGATGTCACCATTGTGGGACACTGTGCCAAAGGCACATGGGACCTCTGTGTTATTTCTTACACCTAGATGTGAGTCTATAATTACCTAAAAATAACCAGTTTAATTAAAAAAAATTGTAGGACAATTGGGGAATTATGAACACTGACTGGAGTTTTTTTAGTGGAACAGTGATATCGTGTTTTGGTTTTAAAAGGCTAGTCTGCACTCTTAAAAGACCCATATTGAAATATTTGCAGATGTAAATGTGTGAGATTTGCTTCAGAGTGACCCAGACTGGGGCAAGCAGTGAGAGTCCTTAGGGATAGGCATGAATAGATGCTTCTTGTCTTTGGGTGAGAGGTGCATGCGGTGTCCTAACACTATGCACTACATATGTGGTCAAGCTCTGAGCTGTGGGAGTCGGTGCATCACGCTAGTTAACACAATGACTTTGGAGAGAGTCGGACCTTGTTCGAATCTGGGCTCTGCTATTTATTAGCCATGGAACCCTGGGCAAGTTACTTAACCTCTCTGAGCCTCAGTGTTCTCAGCTGTGAAATAGGGGTGATGTCTCATAAGGAAGAGTGTTTGGTCAGAAAAGGGAAGGTCTTCACCGGGGGGATGAGGGAGGGAGACAAGGCAGTGCCGGAGCCCCAGGAGCTGATGGAGATGGAGACCCAAGGTGAGGTGGTGAGCTTGGGCAGTGTCTCAGAATCCAGAAAAAGATCTCAAAAAGAGTTTTAAGAAGAGGAGGACAACTGAGAAGAAGCCATTAATCTTGGTGTTCAGGGTGCCATTGTGCTGGTAATGGCTTGGGTTCAGTGGGGAGGGTGGGTCCAATTTAAGGAGCTGAGAAGCAGCTGGGGAGAGAGTGCGGGTGGTGCTGGGGGCCATACTTTCAGACCTTGAAGTGATGGTGCAGAATGAGCTCCAGAGGGAAGCACTTAGGGAGATTAAAGAGCAGAAAGGAGGAACCAGCCGGGGTGACGTGAGGGGCTGGAGGTTCCTAGAGCACTGTTGGGGCTGCTACCAAGGCTGTTTTATCTGCCCTGATAGCCACCTCCTCCCTGTTGACAGGCTTTATTCGATACCCATTCAAACAGCTAATTAAAAAGAAAAAACATTAGAGAACAATCGGGAATTACCAGGGCTGACTAGACTTTTTAGTGTGATAGAATTGTGGTTTTCTTTTAAAAGGTTAGCCCTTGCTTTTTATTGATCGAGACTAAAATATCTATGGATGAAATGGTATGTCTGGAATTTGCTTTGGACCCTGAAGAAAATGAGAATGACTTGATTTTCTGGAGAGTCATGGAGCTGTGTCAAGCCCTCATGTATATTCATTATTTATTAGGTATCCCTATGCATACTGCATGCTAACTAGGAGGTCTAGCAATTAATTTTGCAAACTTGCCACCATGCACTCATATTGGCAGCACTGTACAAACAGCTGGGTAAGGTTTCATAACCTTAGTATATCAGTGTCTCACAGCTGTGTTCATGTCGATGTGTGGCGGTGTCTTGCTGAGTATCGTTCATTATTGTTGTTGGGTGTTTTTGCGTGCCATCATGAGAATGTCTGAGCTTGAATTAGAGCAATGAACAAACATTAAATTTCTTCTTAAACTTAGCAAAAGTGGAAGTGAAATCAGGGACATGTTAGTCCAAGTTTATGAGGACAATGCCATTAAAAAAACGGCAGTGTACAAATGGATTAAATGTTTTTCCGAGGAGAGAGAATGCATCACTGATGAAGAGAGGTCAGGGCAGCTAGTAAGGAGCAGAACTGACGAAAACATTGCAAAACTTCGTAGAATTGTGTGTCAAAATTGGCTGACTGTGACAAGCATAGCAGACCAAGTAAACATTCACAAACAGGAAAATCTTAACTGAAAATCTTGGCATGAGAAAGGAATGTGCAAAAATGGTCCCGAAGGAGCTCACCAATGAACAAAAGCAAAGGAGAGTCGAAGTTTGCCAAGACCTTTAGGAGAGGCAAGATGATATTTTGGGCCATGTTATCACTGGTGATGAAACATGGGTTTACCGATATGACCCTGAAACAAAGCATCAAAGTGCACAATGGAAGTCAGCCAATTCTCCATGACCAAAAATGTTCTGTCAGTCCAAATCAAGTGTCAAAAACATGTTGCTAACCATTTTTTGATATCAGATACAAATTCAACTAGACAAACAGTTAACCAAGTTTACTATTTGGAAGAGCTGAAAAGGCTGTGTGAAAAAGTTAGATGAAAACAACCTGAACTTTTTGCCAATAATTCATGGCTCTTGCATCACAACATTGCACCAGCTCACACGGCACTATCTATGAGGGAGTGTTTGCCAGTAAACAAATAGCTGTATTGGAACACCCTCCTTACTCACCTGATCTGGCCCCCAATCACTTCTTTCTTTACCCGAAGATAAAGGAAATATTGAAAGGAAGACATTTTGATGACGTTCAGGACATCAAGGGTAATATGACAACAGCTCTGATGGCCATTCCAGAAAAAGTTCCAAAATTGCTTTGAAGGGTGGACTAGGTGTTGGTGTCGGTGCATAGCTTCCCAAGGGGAGTACTTCGAAGGTGACTGTAGTGATATTCAGCAGTGAGGTATGTAGCACTTCTAGGAGGAGATTGCGAACTTAATTGTCAGACCTTGTATGTCATTTGCAGGTGTTTATTATTACTCCAGAGGGACCAGCCTGCCACTGACTCACCAACACCCACACTAAAGGCATCTGTGCTAAACCTGGAAATCCCTGGGGAGGAAGGTTTCCCCATCTATGGCTGGGTGCTTTTCACCATGGACTAAAGGACTCAGAAAATGAATCCTTAGAGGCAAGCTTTGTTTGAGAGCTGCTGACAACCTGAGATTTCCCCAACCTCCTCTCTAGGGAGGACATCTTCCATGTCCTAAGGCAGCTACCAGCTCTCCAAGCGGAGGACTGGATGGGCTGCGGAGTTTGGCCTCTGTCCGTGAGCTGTGAGAGTCCCCGATGAACTGGGGACAAATGCACCCACCGAATGGCAGCCAAAAGTACCCCACCCACTGCTCATACCCCTGGGGGTGACAGCATAGCGCCGGCTTGGAACAGAAGCCCAGAATGTACAGGAAGGTGTAAGCAGTGGGGCCCATCTTTATTGAGGTGAGCTGTTCACAATGAATGCCAATAGGCCAGTTTTACAAAGCTTCCCGCTTCCACACAGCTCTGTCTACATTCAGAAAGCAGTGAAAATATACTGTGCAATGAACACTTCCACCTGAAGAGTATCATGGTAGTTCATAAATGTGTCAACAGATAATGTAAAACAATATTTACAAGATACCATAAGTTCCAAATTTAGATACTGATGGTATAATTCTAAAACTAACATTGTATGTTTTTCCAGGTAAGGAAGACCAGTTATTATAAAAATACTTTATATAAATCCAAAGTCAGAACTAAAACATTCAATTCTATAAAAATATCTTTTACTAATAAAAGCATCAATTTCTAGATAAATGTTCTTTATCAACAACAGCTACATCCTTAAATTTTCAGGAAATATCCACTACGTTAGACGATCCACTTAGACATGGGAAAGTAACGTAAGGCAGTTGTCAACATGCCTCAGTGTTCAGCGATGGGATGCACATTTGATTATGTTGTATATTAATGGCACAGATATTCTACAAAACGTTAAGTCAAGTGTCTATGTCTTATGAAAGCCATTTATAAAGACCAAGTCTCCAGCCTAGAGAGGGGTTCGTGGTGGGCACTGCCTCCAGGAGAGGCCACCAGTTCTGTTAGGAGCCAGCTACCTCGCACTTTGAAATGTCTAACTTGGAAAACCAGTGACTGCGTTTGGGCCGCTATCTGAAATCAGCTCATTCATTTCGTTTTGCTTGCTCTCCTTGGGGGCATGGCTAGGGTGGTTCCTTTGCGTCTGCACTCTCTTTGACTTCCTGAAACACACCTTCAGCAGCAGGTAGCACAGCTCAGCCACATTAAGCAGCATGCAAATCACAGACGCGGAAATCATAAAAATGGTGAACACGGTTTTCTCCGTAGGTCTAGAGATGAAGCAGTCGACGAGATTGGGGCAGGGGTCGATCCCACATTTCAGCACCCAGGGCAGGTGGTATCCATTGTACAGGAAGTAAAACACGTACATAAAGGATGCTTCGAAGATGATTCGGAAAAAGATGCTGCAGGTGTATGTCCACCACAGGGCCCCCTCGATCCGAACCTTCTGCTTTTTAATGTCTTCCAGATCCTTGAATTCATTTCTCTTCTCTCCTCGCCGAAACTTGCGGGCGGCTTCCTGTCTGTGGTAGGCCACGTGCATGGCCACCAGCAGGGCCGGCGTGGACACGAAGATGAGCTGCAGGGCCCAGAGCCGGATGTGGGAGATAGGGAAAAAGTGGTCGTAGCACACGTTTTTGCATCCAGGCTGCAGAGTGTTGCAGACGAAGTCTTCCTGCTCATCACCCCACACTTCTTGAGCGGCCACAACGAGGATCATGACACGAAAAATGAAGATGACGGTGATCCACACCTTCCCGATGCTGGTGGAGTGTTTGTTGACTCCCCCGATGAATGTGTGCAGGGTTCCCCAGTCCATTGTGTTGGCTTATTCCTAGGCAGACAAAGATCAGCAAAGGGAAATTAATGAAAAGCTCCTTTGAATTTATAAAACAGTTGTATATTGTAGACTGAAGCAAATTTCGCTTAAAGTGTGCTGTGATAGCTTCAGCCCCTAAACTGCTGGTAGGAGGTTTTCTAAAGACATTCTAAGGCCTTGGACCAGAAATAACATTTTTGTTTTGGGGGGGGAGGGGAGGTTTAAGATAACCTTGAGTCAACTAAATTCAGATTCTATAATAGGTGGCTGAAAAAAAAATAATTCATTAGAATGACATAATTGGTTTACCCAGCAGACTAAGAAGGGAAAATAAAAAATCAAATACTAAGTTATTTTACACAATATATTTATATTTATTTCTAGCTTGAATAACATTTTCTGTAATCTTGGGCTCTGGGAAACTTAACATGGTACCCACAGAAAGATCCTCTTTCCTAAGAGGGTCACAGCTGTCACCAAAACTGCCCTCTTGTTCTCCATTGTAACTGGGCCAGGGGTGGCCTTTGCTCCCCAGCTGGAACCACCACTCAGTCAAAACTAAGAACTTGCACCCCCCTCACCCCACTGCAAGGTGGAGTCTGCCTCCCTCCCTGTTAGAGCCCTGATTTAATGTCCTGGGAGAAAATGATTTCTTGACTTTTACAGAAACGTTTGCTACAATTCAAATAGATGCCTTCTATGTTGGCAACACAAGACTAACATTGGTCAGCATTCTCCTTAAAAAAAAAAAAAAAAAAAAAGAACACTCTGAGAATCTTCTGAAAGTGAAAAACCCTCTCCTCAGAAAAACCCACTCACACCCTTTTAGGGAAGGAGGGAGTCACCAATGTCCTTTGTCAACCCATCTTAGACTTCCTTGAATGCACGTGGGGCACACTGGTCAGATTTTTTCCCAGACTGACCCCTCACCTGCCATGATTTTGTTGGTAGTTACCATGATGACAGCAGTGGCACAGACATAGTGTCTTAGTGTGAAAATGATGTTTACGGATGCCTCTCATATCATCAGGAAGTTCGCTGTATTTCCACAGTTCATTTAATAACTACACCCTACCATTTTACTTAATGAATATTCGTATCCCTTGGAGGGAGCACACCATACATCAAGGAAGATATTCACGCCATACAACAAGGCTCCCTAAAAGAAACTCAAGCTTAGGCTAGAAATGGAGTTTGCATGCCTGCTACCTGGGAGCCCACATCTGAACTGATGAGTTCATGTGACCTCAAGAGAGACACTGGGCACCTGAAGCTGCATAATACTGAATGTCAACTATAATTTAATATACATATAGTCACAGGGTGTGGAGTACAGCGTAGGGAATAGAGTCAATGGAATTGTAGCAGCTATACATGATGTCAGAGGGGTAGTAGATTGGGGGAGGGGGTTATCATTTTGTGAGGGGGGTAAATGTCTAACTATTACATTGTTTTGTACACCTGAAACTAATAAAAAAATTTTTACATGCATACTTGAATTAACAAAAAAGAAAGAAAGAAAGACACTGGCAGGCTGGTATGCCGGCATGCGGCCAGGTGGCAGAGCTGGGAAGGCTCTCTCAGGAGGGGGTGCTCAGCTGGAGGATGGCTCTGAGGCAGTGGCAGTGGTAGGATTTGACTCCTGTGTTGATCGAGGACTAAGATGGAGCTAAGGGTAGAATGAACGGAAAACCAGGTTTTTGCTTTTTTAGAAAGAAAGAGAGAGAGAGAGAGAGAGAGAGAGAGAGAGAGAGAGAGAGAGAAAGCAAGCAAGCTGAGAAAAATGAAATAGGTACAGCTCTTTAAACATAAACTCTTTGGAGCTGTGGTTTCTCGCACTGAATCAGAGGCCGTGTGAGCGTGCTTAGGGGTCACACAGAGGGCTCCCTCAGGAGGGGCAGGCTCAGGGCTCCATTATTAAACCTGCCTTCCGCATACCACTTATCCCAGGGCCCAAGAGGCTGTCAATTAATCTTTGATCTAAAAGACTCATTTTAGACAATATGAATTATAAAATTAATTTTTAGTCTCTGATTATAGTCATCACAGTACACTTTCCTAGTTGTTGCTATTTTGTTCTGGAATTCTTTCAGGATGTGACCAGTGGGACAGTAGAAACATGTATCTTGATGTTTAAACACACTTTACAGTGGCTTTTCCCCTAGGAGGTCAGTCCTGTTTGCTTATAAAATAAAGATGTTTTCTAATTAACCAGTAAATATCTCCCACTGAAGTTTGGTTAATTAGTGCCCCATGGGAAAGCCTCTGATTTATCAAAGAAAGGCTTACAATTTTTCAAACCTTCCAAAATGCAGAGAATTTACCCCCCCCCTCCCCCGCCCCGGACTCCTCCAGGTAAAAAGGCTGTTTCTGTTTGAGTTCTCTATCAGCTGCCTGAACAATGGCACACCTAGAGTCACCTATTCCCTGTCCTGCTAGGAAGCAAACCCATCCAGGTGCCTGAATGAGTTTGGAGAGGTGAGGTCAGGAGGTCACAATTTCTCCACAAGAATATGGTCCCACTTTCTAGAAGCAGGATTCTCTATGACTTCTGCTCCTTTGGGCTTCTCCTTAAAAAATCAGTGACCATAGTGATGGCAATAGCTTTTTTCTTTTGACGTCTATGGGTCCTCAAATCACCCACTCTGAAAACATTCTCTCTAGCAAAGCTCAACAGAAAAAAATCTATTTTACAACACTTATTGACTTCAACTAAAAATCAGCAATTTATCTGCACCTTCAAAGGAAGAAAAAGAAATGAGATGCCCAGGTCACTAAGAAAAATGAGTGATTAAGCCCAAATACAAGTGTATCTAGCCTACTGGTCACTCAAGACAATTAACTGGGCTGAGAACAAATCATCTGATTGGCAGTATCTTCCTGCACAAGTGACAAAGGTCCTATTATCTATGGTGGTAGAAATGAATGGAAAGGAAGCAGAAGAGATGCCCTCCATGCACCTTGGAATGGACACTCAATCAGTGAATGTGCACTGGTGTTTCCAACAGTGAAAGCTTTCCTTTCCATCCTCATGAGTAGCCCCCCAGGCTCCTGGGGGCTTCTGTTCTGCACATCAGTCTCCCAGCGAGCGCTAAGAGCAGGAGATCTGTCACCTGTACCAGGGCATGGATGGCCCCAAACTTCTTGACACATTGCTGCAGTCACGGGTAATGCCTGTGGCCCCAGGACACTGTTCCCACCCAGGACGGGGCTGGCAGATGGCAGAAGGTTGGACAGGAGGCCTGGCTTCACTGGCCCTTCCTGACCTGACCCTTGGGCAGGTGGGGCCTGCCCTGGCTTGGGAACAAATGCATACCCCTGGCCCTTGGCCTCTCCCCCTGTGAACACATAACCCCGGGGTAGGCTTTCTTAAACACTGTAGTTATGGGGCATTTGAAGGCTGAGTACTCTTTGAAAACCCTTTGCCATTAATACCAGGGAACAAAATACCTCTCTCCTTTTAGGCTTCCAGCGGGCTACAGATGCTGGGGGAGCTTTTTCAATAAAAGTCAAATATTAACCCTCTCTGTAAACCAGAGAGGTTTAACTGACACTTTTGTGGCTGTCTTTTGAGGAAAGAAGAGATATGCCCGCCTTCTGTAGTCTTTTCCGTGTAAGAATGTGGTTCCACTCATACATGCAGAGGTAATTTGCATTTGGGTTTGCGGTACATCTAACCCTCCATGGCACATTCTTGATACTAAAGCTTTGGTCCCAAATATTAGCTTTACAAACAAATAAACCTTACTTCTGATGGTACACACAGCATTATGACGATAGACTGTCCGTTCCTTTGACAATTCAAATAATTTAAGTCCATTAGCATTCTGCACACAGGAATGGAAGTTCTTCACTGTTTTAAAATTTCTTATTTAAGAATTTATTTAGTTTCCTTAAGGATGCCATTTTAGTTTCACTGACGACAGAACCAAAATTAAAACACTAAACATCAGTGTCAGACTCAGTGCTGAGGTGGAAAAGACCCTTCCGGATAGTTCTGTCCTCTTTAGATGACCCTTTTAAAGTCAGTCAGCAAATATTTGATAGGCTGAGAATGGAACACACTCCTCATAATTTCCACGTTCGTTTGGAGAGTTGAGGCATTTGACTTGATAAAGGCCTTGACGTCACAGCAAAGTAAGCACACCTGAGCCTGACACCTGAGCCTGACTCCCAGGTCTCCCAGCCTATCGGCCGGAGGGGAACCAGGGCAAGGCTCCCACTTCAAGGCTCAGGCTTTCTCTTTCTCCAGCATGTGACAGCCTAGAGGCCAGCATGGCACCATCACGGCATGAATGTAAATCTTTGTGCAGCTTCTGGATGTAAGCGAAGATGTTGCCTCTTAGGAAAAGATAGCAGCTGTGGCCATGGTCCTGTAACTCCTCCCACATGTCTACTGCATGATCTCTTGTGGGTAGTTTTCTTCATCCACAGAACTGTTAAGAGAAAAGTATGGATACTACTGCCACCTTCCTAATGCTCCATGGTTCAAATCCACAATCAAATCAGAACAAAATCTGTAGTGTTGATTCTTTTCCCTTGAAAATAATGATAATAAGACCAATTTCAGGCTCCTTCACTGAGTATTTAAAAGAAAAGGAGTGGAGGGAGTTTGAGAAACTGGATATGCTCCCTTACCCTCCAAATCAGTAGTCAAACAAAAACAAACTCAAACTCTCTCCTTAATCAGGAAGAATCTCTATCTTTTGTCTCTATAATCTCAGGTCAGCCAAGGGACAACCTGATAGATGATTTTTAAATTTAATGACTCAAAACTTCATCAACTGTCCTTTCAAAGCAAAGACCAGTGATAAAATGCTGTTAGGATTTAATACTTCTTCAAACGTAACTCAAAATAAAAGACTTTTTCTGTCTACAGTCTAAATATAAAAATGGACAGTTCATAGAATTACAAGTATTTCTTATCCCATGTAAGAAATCAAAGAGTTAAAAAAATAATTTCCATTAAGCAGTCTCTGTTCATTCAAGTAAACCTGTATCCTTTCCAAACATTTAAGTCTAACCCGAGTTAAATGACCCTGGGAATAAAAATGGAAAAGGCCACCTGAGGACCCAGTTCCATTCTAATGGATCAAACAAGTAAAACTGAAACCTTTACATATGATAATGTCGCCACTGGAAGGCTCTTATCCTCAAGGACCAAGATGCTTGGGTAGAACTTTATTCCCCCACAATTTTATCCTGTTTAACATTTTAAAGAAAGTGTATGAATGACTCGCAGCTCCTGGACTGTTCAGACTTCATCAAAGCCGTGTGGTGAGGATTCGAAAGTTAGAATTTTCCTGTCACCCTATGTAAATTGTTCAGTCATACCGTCCATACTTCTCCTTCCTAATGCTCTTATAATCCAGCAGAGAAAAAGTAAGAAAAGAGAACAAGTCACCACTACCTGGATCAGATTTTGTTTTAAACCAGAAACACCAATGAGGCAATGAGTGCTGCCTTCCTGGTCTTGGTCGCTGCCCTCATGGCAGCGGGAGCCCTGCACCACCCTCTCCCACTCCCCCAGCTGTGTCACAGGCTGGAGTGCTGATGTTCTGGCTCCTTAACCTCCTTCTCTCTCCTTGGCAGAGTTCAGACAACACCCTCAAAGTCTCGCCTGGTCCAAACAACAGACAAAGCTCTCCTCAGGGTCAGTTTTGAGCAGCATCCTGAAATTCTAAGGGAACTGTACTGGGCAGGACGCTGTCTCCTAAAACACTAGTTAGATTCTGCTGGAACTGGGGCAAGGGGATACTTCTGTAGCACAAAGTCTACTGAAGGAAAGGAACAGCAGGGAATGGTCAAATTCAAGCAGGCACTAAATGGACAGTAGGAGTCCACCTAGGGAACACAGGGTACCTGCAGTAGCCGCAGGTCCCAGCCCCTCCAGGCGTCCAGAGCTGCGTTCAGGCCACACTCACCTCAGACCCTGTCTTGTTCTCCAAGAAGGGGGGCCAGCTCAGTCAAAAAAGCACCCGATGACAGGGACACCAGGGACTGACCTGTCTCCTTCACCAGGCAGGAAGTGCCTTCTGGTGCCTCCACCTTCAAACTGAGATGTGTCACCTATGACACCTAATTACTGTTGTCCAGCAATTGTCCTGTCATTATATTATTGTCATTTGCGTTTCACAAGTTCCCTGGGTGCACATCACACAGCCACACGGGTCAGTTTTGCCTGGTACTTATGGAGTGGCTGCCGGTCGCGGCAAAGTTTGGCTGAGCTTAAACACTGATTCTTTGCTCTGGTTTTCTTCTCTCCCAGATCCTTGTGGCACTTTCTCAGTGACCCATAAAAGCGCAAAAAGCCAAACGCAGCAAAGGAAGTGGGGGAAGGGGTACAGGTCCCTACCGGCCACTTAGATACGCGATGTGATGTATTTACAAAACCTGTGTGCAGGCCAAGGGCGACCATCTGGGGTACAAGCCAAACCAGTCCGTCCTGGTTCCTCCGGCGTACGCAGATGCGGATCCCGGGCAGATAAGGTCGCCCTGGGCAACCCGCGCGGACACCCACCCCTATGGCCACGGGGCCCGCCTGTCAGCGGTCTCCAACTAGGCTTTCCGGGTCAGCCCTCCGCGGAGAAGCCGCGATCGCCCCGAGCCCTGCACCGCCCGGCGCCCGCTTACCTGTTTGGCTGGCACTGCGGCCGCGCGGGTCCGGGCGCGGGGCTCTGGGCGCGCAGCAGCGCCCTCGCTGCAGCCAGGCGGGCAGTCGAGTCGGCGTCTGGAGCCTGCAGTCGGCGGGGCCCCCACCTGCAGTGCCTTTTAACTGCGCCCCACCCCGCCTCTGCCCTGACGCTCCCGGGCGCGCAGCCGGAGGCCAGCGTTCGGTGACCCGCGCGGGACCGCCCCGGGGCTTGGGGCGCAGGACAGGCCTCCCGCGGGGGCCGGAGGAGCGGGAGCGGGGATGCTGGGCGGGCCTCTGGGTTGGGGACGCCCGGGAAGCGCTCCAAGGGCAGGACGCGACCCTCGCCTTCCGGTCCGTCGGGGGCGCGGGGCTGAAGCCGAAGGCTCAGGGGCATAGGGGTGCAGGGCGGGCCCTGGGGTGCAGGGCGGGCCCTCGCTCGGGGAGCGCCGGACGTGGGTGGTCCCGGCCTGGTCCTGGAGGGCGGGCGGCCACTCGCCAAGAACCCGAGCGCCATAGGGAGAGGGCCTGGGTCAATGGGCCTGCCGCCCGCCGGTGGCTATGCTTCCAATCCAGGACCGGTGGGGATCAGTGTTAGGGGCAGGCTGGACACATCCCCCTTCTATCTGGACACTGCCATCCTCTTCCAGTGTCTCCCCCCACACACACACACACACTCACACCCAGTACCTGCATGGTTCTCTCCTAGAGAGCAGCCTGGAGGTACAATGGCTGGTGTTCTCTATCAATTAACAACTACTTAGAGGAGCCAAAGGGTTTTTTTTGTTTTGTTTTGTTTTTATGGGTTACCTCCATCCTTTGAAGCCTCCTCCAGGGGAAGTAGAGCGGGCTTTCCTCCCTGAGTCCAGCCACCATGTGGAGACCCTGGTCTTGCCGCTTTCACAGACAGGGCTAGGCAGGGCTAGGGGTGCCCAGGGCGGGCACAGGCTGGTGGGGTGGAAATGTTGGAAGCTATTTAGGGACATGCCTTGACAGGTTCAGACCTGTCCTTCACCAGACAAGAGATGTGTGACTTGCTTCTTTCACAAAATTGGTTGGTGGTAATAAAAATGTCCCCACCTAAACAGTATGCTACTTGTTAGGTCATATTCCTTCATGCAACAGGATTAGTGGTGGTTAAGATAGCTCTTCAAGGTCTCGAAAGAAAAACCAAGACTTCATAAAAATCCACCTCCGAGATATTTTACTAGAGGACAAGGTTTTCAGAGAATTGTACCTGGGTCAGATCGGTTCAGAATACTTTGGGGTGACCCCTGGAACAGCCTTGCACGTAGAGGTGGAGAGATACCAAAACTTGTTTGGGTTTTTCATTAGGCACACCTGCCACCTGCATGTGTCCTCTGCCTTAAACTTTCCTCCAGCCTTCACGGTGTGGCTGGTCCTCCCCTACCCCTACAATGTGACACCTTTCCTGTCGTCTCTCCATCACTCTCCCCAGACACTCCAGCCAGGCACATCTGTTTGCATAGTGAAGTAAGTCCATTTTAAAAGTAGATTGTAAACTTCTTTGGGGATCACAAACTGTCGAAGCCTTTCTTTGCATTTCTACAGCATCAGGTACAGTGCTTTGCACATAGTAGGTGCTGCTCCATGTGTGTTTGCATACTGATTGGCAAAGCCACCCAGCAGAGCAGATAAGCCTGGAGGTAACTTTTGCCCTGAAGGAGGACTGCCCATGTTCTCACTCCTATAGTTGATGCCATGCAACACTGTCTGGGCGCTGACATCCAGGACCAATGGGAGTTTTTGCTGAACCTGTCCAGGAAAGAACTTTGAACCAAACAAGCCACAGAGAGTGTGTGTTGCATTTGCTCAGGTGTCCAAAAATGGAACCATCTCAATACGGCAAAAATATCTTTTCCTATCCAGGTTATCTACGCTAGCCCCACAGTGCTGGGTTTATTTGTCATGTGTTTCTTAACGTTCAACCCCATCATTCAGTGTTCATTTCTCATCAGACGGTCCTGTTGTGGCAGCGAACAAACCTGGACTATGTGAAACTCAGGGACGCATTGAGATCTTCATTTGAAAACTGGAAAGTTAGCTAATTAAACATTTTATGCTAATGACATCCAAAGGCATCTGCAGGGGTCGGTTCCAGTCTTACTGTCCACTTGCAATATAACACAGTCTGAAGACAAGTCTTCCATAGTCCTGGCTGTGATCCATGACATCAAACTCCTTAGACTGACATCTTCCCTGTGCATCTTAAGGATGATTTCTGAGTCCATACATTTAATCAGCACAAAATGTCAAAATGTGTAAAGTATGGGTTTCCCTTTGCCACACCAGGAGGTTTGATAGTGAGATGCTCTTTTGGAAATCTATAAATTCTCAGGGCCTTTACATAAAGAACGAAGGAGACCCCCCTTCCCCGCCCCGCATTGGAGGGGACACACACTCACAGAGTGACTTACAATGGATTGCTCAGACTTTCACAGTCCAAGCTGGAAACATAGCATGGGGACTCTTTCTTATAACTGACATAGTTCTAGACACATGGAAAGAGAGAGAACTGTGTGTGCCCTTTAAATAAAAACAAATATTTGTCTATTCATTCAACAAAAAAAGCCTGCATTGAGCAGGCCTATGTTAGGCCAGGCACATAAAGAAGACAGTTCCTGTATCAAGTTTTCTAGTTTGATTTTCAAATCTGTGTGCAAAGGTCATGTGAGATGCTTTGAGGGGATAACACAACACATACACAGGATGCTGGGAATGGAGTTCATGGGCCTCCCGCGGGTAAGCTCAGCCATTTCTGCTTTCACCACGTACCATGCACACTGCTGACGTGGCTGGCTTGAGAACCCTACTTAGGACACGTTAGTTATGGGTGTTCTTTGCTTTTGAATGTTTAATTATGGTAAAATACATGTAACATAAACCCACCTCTGTAACCATTTAAAATTGCATAATGCACAGAGGTGTTTAGGCTTGTGCACCCATCACCACTGTTTAGAACTTTTCATCACCGCAGAAGGACACCTGGACCCATTTAGCAGTCACACCCCGTGTTCCAGTCCCAGTTAACTGCTCGTCTGCTTTCTGTCTCCATGGATTTGACTCTTCTGATGATTTCCTCTAAAAGGGTTCACACTTATGTGGCCTTTTGTGTCTGGCTTCTTTTATTTAGCATGAGGTTTTCAGAGTTCATCCATGTTGTATCGTGCATCAGTGCTTCCTTCCTTTCAATGGATAAAAAAATGGCATGTCTGCACCCCATTTTGTTATCCATTCATCTGTTGGTGGGCACTTCTGTGGTCCTGGTTGTGATCCGTGACATGAAACTCATTTGATTGCTCCCTTCCCTCTGCGTCTTAATCATGAATTCTGAGGCATGTGACACTGGGGCATAGATGGACCGAGTGGTTGGGTAGGGCTGAAGTGGGGGAACTGTCAATCAGGAAGAGGAGTTTAGAGTGGCTGTGAAATGAAGAGAGGGAACACGACACCACTAGGGGAACACAATCTGGCAAGTTTAACCAAGTCCACGTCTATTACGAGCTAATGTGATGTGAATGTCTCATAGTCACGGTCATTCTGGGTGCCATCGATAGAAGTGTGGTGTCTCTATGAGGCGTATGCTTCTTCCCTCCTTTCTAGGCTGCTGGTTCCCACCTAGGTAAGCTGACAACTCCTGTGTCACGTTTCTCTACAGTAAACACGTACAAGCCACAGTCAGAACAGGCAGTGCGTTTTTATCGGGAAGAGTTCACTAGAGGCTGAATGACCCTCAGCCAAGTGCTGTCTTGAAGGGGTTAGACTGAAGCACTGTTAAGCGGATTCCCAACCCTGAGAAACGTCAATAACATGGTCATCACTGGGGAGGGGAAAAGCTGAGGCAGACGTTCAGCTTTGAGCCTGAATGATCTAGAGACTCACCTTTCTCTTCCACTGACAAAAAGAGATGCTGGTCAAGGAAGCCGACTTGGGGAACAGTGATGTTTGGTGACGCTGACTGTGGTTTGTTGGCAGAACATTCCAGCTGGAACATGATTGAATGTCTGTTGAACTCTCAATCTGGGAATCCAGTCTGTGTGTGACTCTGCCTATTCACCCCTCACTCCCATCTTTGCAGAGTTTTCCAGGTCCTGCCCTGTCATGGACTTGCTTCTCCACGAGCCCTCCCTGGTAACCTTCCTCCCACCCTTTGCTGCTCCCATTATAGCTATATACGCACTTACTTTACCTCTCTTGCAATTATTTCCTTAATTGTTAAGACATTTCAGGACAGAACTCACACCTTAGTTATCTTTGTATCACTGCCCCTTCCCCCACCTAGGACCACCCACCTAATGCACGAGCCATATTCCCTGCTTCTGTATAATTGATTAGTAAAGCAGTTGACTTAAAGTGGGGTTAAATCAGTATACAGTTGCTGGCTGAGAGAAGGGAGTGGGTGGGAGTCTGAACACTGAACCTTGCAGAAAGGAAGAATGGGAGCCTGTAATGGGTGAGAAAAGAGGGAAATGGAGAGGGAGAAGGCTATTCCAGAAGAGAGGCAGAGAGTGGTAGTATGGCTGACTGGGTGGGGACAGAGCTTCCAGAAGGGTGTACTAGGGGTGTCCAGAGAAACAGGACAAATAGGACGTGTGTATGCATATGTGTATATGCATGCATGTGTGTGTTTGTGTGTATGTATATGTATATGTATGTGTATGTGTATGTGTATGTGTATATGTAGAGAATGAGAAACCTAGATTTACTTGAAGGAATTGGCTCATGCAATTGTGGAGGTGCTGCCAGTCCAAAATCTGCAGGGCACCAGCCGACTGGAGACCCATGGAAGAGCTAATGTTGCAGCTCAAGTCTGCTGGCAGAACTCCCTTCTCCTTGGGGGACATCAGTCTTTGCTCTGAAGTCCTTCAGTTGATTGGATGAGGCCCACCCACACTATGGAGGGTAATCTGCTTTACTCAGAGTCCACTGTTTTAACAGGTAATCACATAAAAAAAATACCTTCACAGCAGCTTACACCTGTGTTTGGCCAATCATCTGGGCACTGTAGCCTAGCCAAGTTGACACATAAAATTAACCAGGACAGGTGTTCATTCTTCTTAGTTGATGATCCCTACTGTGTGCAAAGCTCTGGGGCCATCACAGTGGACAGGCCACTTTTCCTTCAAGGGGCTTCAGTGGTGCTGAGGACCCAGTCAGTCCACAGCAAGTGCAGAACCCATAAAGGCTGTGGGAGGGTGGCCAGAGGCAGATAGGCCAAAAACATGGGAGCAAAGTAAGGGATTCTGGGTAAAGGGAGACTTATGA